GAGGGAGGAAGGAAGGAAGGAAGGAAGGAAGGAAGGAAGGAAGGAAGGAAATAAAAATTTTAATTGAAGGAAAACAGCTACACACGCAAGAGTTTCTCAATAAATACTGTGCTGTGCGAAGGGGTTTAAATCTTTGAATAACCTCCATCCTCGCTAGATTTGAGTTTTGTTAAGAAAACAGTATTCATCACATCTAGCAGTAAACACAAGTGACATTTATAGTTTAAAAGCCACACCTACCCTCCAAGCAAGTCTGCAGTGTCACTCTGTTGATTCATATTGACAACTCTCAAACGATGACCTTTTAAGAAAGAGAAAATTATTATTCCAAACACTTGTAGGAAAAATCACAGTGTATTCCTTAAAAGGTATGGGCAAATTTTCAGGTATGCATATTTCCCTTGATCACATCACTTTATTTTCAAATATCTCAAAATTCTTTAACACATATCAATTATAAACAATGGGGCTGGAGAGATGGCTCAGCGGTTAAGAGAACTGACATAATGCAGAAGACTCAGGTTCAATTCTGAGCACCCACATGGTGGCTAACAAGCATCCCTAACTCCAATTCCAAGGGACCAAACACCCTCTCTGACCCCCAAGGGCATTGCACAACACGGGTGCACTTACACGCAAGCAGGAAATATTTTTAAAAACAAACAAAAGATCCTTCAATAAACTGATGCCTATAATTTAGAATGACATAAATATTCACAGTAGCTGAGCCATTAGACAGAATAATAATATAATTTTAAAAGTTGTCCAATTTATTTAATTAAATACATATGTAAGTCAGTATTGGCTGTAACCACCTATAATCCTACCACTGAGAAGCCAGAGGTCAACCTGGGATATACAACAAGACTGTTTCACAAAGAAAAAAATAGTATGCAGAGTATAATTTCATTTGCTTTTAAACAATATGTATGTGTGTCTCCATATATTTGCAAAGCACAGGCTATAAAAGAACTAAGAGAATATCAATCTGTTATTAGTGGTTATTTCAAGAGAAACAGATTACAAGTAGAGTGAGGCCACTTCAAACTCTAGAATCCTTAATTTACTACTGAGAAAAAAGGGTGAGAGAGAGAAGGCAGGGTGGTGCATACACGAAATGCCAGCACTCAGGAGGCTGAGGCAAGATCACAAGTTTAAGGCCAGTCCTAGGTTACAAAGCCAGATTCAACAGTCACTGAGAAATTTCTGGTGCAAAATCATTTCCTGTTCAGAGTTACCTGTAACGTGAGCCAAGTACTGAACAGTGGAAGTTTTGCCGGTCCCAGTCTCTCCTACTAATAACACAGGCTCCCCTTTGCTGACACATACTGCAAGCTGCTCAATGAGAACAGAAGATGGCCGAGTAGCAGCAAAAGTATGCTTCTCCCTAGGAAAAGGTAATTTAGAAGTGAGGCTATGCCGGACAAATCCAGGTCAGCTGGGGCTACAGGGAGAGACCCTTTCTCAAAAAGACCAAAATAAAACCAGAAAAAAAGACACAGCAATTGAAAGCAAACTAGAACATCTATGTAAAGGTAGAAAGAGAATTGACCTCCATAAGTGCTGTGGAACACGCAATAACCCTCACAAACACACAATAAAAAATGTATCTTGAAAGTATTTAAACAGTAGTAATAATACATCATTATACCAGGTTAAATAGTCTTCCCAAAAACTGAGTCCAAATAGAACCAATGACTACAACTTGTCTTAAGGTAGGATCACTGAAGATTTAATTAACATAAGGTATTATTACAATACTCTGGGCCTTAATTTCAATGGTTGGTTGATGGTTAATGTTAATTTTCAAGTTGACACAATCTTGACTCTCAAGAGAGAAGGGCCTCTGGACATGCCTGTGGAGAATTGTGGAGACTGCATTGGCTGATTTGGGAGAACCCATCCTAATTCTGGTTGGAGCCTGGATCCTAGGCTGTATGAAATGTAGAAGGTAAGCTGAGTACAGCATGCATGCATTCACTGTTCTGTTCCTGGATGCAATATGATTAGCTCCTTCAGCTACTGATACTGTGACTTCACTACCATGACATGGTAACCTGGAACTGTGAACGACATAAACTCTTTCTTTGTCAGTATATCACAGAAACAGGGAAAGAAACTATAACTACTGTTGTCCTTATAATCCAAAAAGGGATTTGGAGACAGAAACACATGGTTCCATAACCACCTCAACTGCAAATCTAGCCAACGGAAATGTGAAATAAGAATGGCTATCAGGTGTCCAAACTTTTGACATAACATCATCTACTATGTGTTGGGCCACATTTCATAGCTATGCTAAGATGAATAAGGCCCTTAGGCTACAGGTTGAACACACTTGGCTAAAGCAACAAAGTTTACGGTAACAAAAAAAAATTTTGTTTTAGTTTATTATTATTGTGTGTGTGTATATACAGGTGCGCGAGGGCCACCACACACATGGGGAGGTCAAAGGACAACTTTGGGAAGTCAGTTCTCTTTTTCCACCATGGGTTCCACAAACTTGGGCCATCAGGTTTGCACTTTTATCCACTAAGTCATCTCACTGGCCTATTTATGGTAAATTATTACAAAAGTTCTAAGACACTAATATACTAATTTCTAAGATTATAACTACTATATGGAAAAGTAATTGCAACTATACAAGCACAATGTCAAAAATAGAGTTTATATGCTGGGACATGGTAGTCCACCCCTTTGGGAGACAGAGGCAGGCAGACAGACCTCTGTGAGTTCCAAGCCAGCTGGGGCTACAGGGAGACCTTGCCTAAAATAAATAATAAATAGTTTATTATAAGCATTACCTAGAATCTTGTATAATCTCAGCAAGCAAGGAATTTACACAGAACCACATCCTGTAATCCAATTAGGCCCCACTTTATTAAATACACTGTAGCAAGTAAAATCAATCTTAAGTTGCTAACTGCTATTAACATCTAGTTCTCCAGATGACAATTTGGGAAACTACTGCTCCCGAACATGTTCCAAACTGGAGCGATCTCAATATAAGCACAGGTTTTGTACAAAGAGCCTAGACTAGACTTTCTACCAGCTGATGACTCCACAATTCACAGGTTAGTAACTCTACTTACTTATGCATGTGAACAGCCTCACTTTGTTTCCGCAAAAGCCGCACACGACCTACTTGTACGTCTAGCTCATTAATGACAATTTCTGGTTTATAGAGTTTACAAAAAAATTCAGCCTGTGGAAGAGAAAGATTTCAACTAAGTTAAAAATATCCCTACTTTATGCCAGGCGTGGTGGCGCACACCTTTAATCTCAGCACTCGGGAGGCAGAGGCAGGCTGATCTCTTAGAGTTCAAAGTCAGCCTGGTCTCCATAGCAAATCCAGGCCAGCTGGGGCTACAGGGAGACCCTGTCTCGAAGAAAAAAAAAACCTACTTTTTGAACATCTCCATATCCATAGCAACTCAATATACCTTTCTCATTAATGCCCTCTACCAGACAAAACACTGTTTCCAAGATAAGCAAGTTACCTTTACATCAAAGGTTTCTCTGTTTTATTTTCTTTTACTTTCCAAGTTTCTAATATGTATGTTGAAACACTGATCACATATACCTGGCATGCTAACACTGATCACATATACCTGGCATGCTAACCCCTGATAGCTAGTGCTGTCAACTTGACTCAATCTAGAATCACCTAGGAGACAAATGTCTGGCTGAGCCTATGGGGGATTACCCTCATTACACGAATGGATGTGTGAAGATCCACTGTACCTGTTCACAGGACTATTCCCTAGGTAGGGAATCCTGGACTGTATAAATGAAGAAAGCAAGCTGAGTAATAACAAGCATTCATTCTCTCTCAGATTCTTGAGGGCATATGCAATGTAAACAACTCTCTCCAGCTCCTATCACTGTGATTTCCCTGCCCTAATGGTACTGTACCCTGGAACTGTGACCCAAAATAAAATAAACCTTTTCTCCCTTAAGTTGCTTTTATCAAGGGATTTTATCAGAGCAACAGGAAAAGAAAGTAAAACAGTATCTTTCCATCATTTGAGTAAACTGTCTATTTAAAGTAGACATGCTAACATTTACAAAAAGCTTAAAGGGAAAAAAAAATCCACTCCTAAACAAACAAAAAAAAAAGTAAATTGTTCTTCAACTGTGCTTTGGTCTGCTTTAAATTTGTAGCATGATACAAGAATCCATGGTCAGTTTGACTACTGCCAAAGAAAGAGAAGCTGCAGCAGAGGATCCTGGAAGTCCACATAGCCACTCATCTTTTATTTATCAGGTACTCAAAGAATCCACATTATGTTCAGGTCTGGAGCAAGAATGAATGGGGCAAAGTATTCAAGGAAGCCCCTCCCACTCAAAGCGGTAAGCGCTGATCGGTCTTTGCCAATTTCTACTATTTCAGAAGGCCAAAAAACATCTTTACTATTGCAATTGATTTTTCAAGTGATAATGCCTCACAAAGAACCCTAGACATTTCTGCAGACTTCAGAAACACCAATACCATGCTCAAATGCTTTTTAATATGTGTATGTATGCATGTGTGTATGTATATGTCAAGTATCACATACTACCACAAAGCTACATCCTCCACCCCTTAAAAACAGTTTTTTAAAAAATGTTACAATATTACCCATCTCGATCTGGGTCATGTTGGCGCACACATTTAATCCCAGCACTCTGGAGGCTGAGGCAGGGGGGATCTCTGTGAGTTCGAGGCCAGCCTGGTCTCCCAAAGCAAATCCAGGCCAGCTTCGGCTACAGGGAGACCCTGTCTCAAAGACAAAAGAAAAAAAAAAAAAAAAATTCACCCATCTCAGGGAAGAACCCAGGCAGTAGCATTCATTGGGATTAGTTTTTACAACTTTTCTCATTTATTAAGATAATAATAAAACAACAGAAAGAAATCTGTGTAGTAAAGTGTAGACAAAGATAAAAGTTAGTACTTAGATCTTATCTTGAGAAAATGGTCACTAAAACACAAGGCGTATATGACCTACATATGACACAAAGAAGAGGACCTGGTTTCGAATCCCAGCATCCAAATTATGGCTAACCACCATCCATAACTATAGTTGCAGGAGATCCTCCTCTGGCATTGCATGACATGGATACACTTACATACATGCAGGCAATATACCCATACAAATGAAATAAAAATAAAATAAAAATTAAAAAGCCTGACATGCCAGACAAGGTAGCTCAAGACTTTAATCCCAGTAGTCAGGAGGCAGAGGCAGAGGCAGAGGCAAGCAGATCTCTGTGAGATGAAGGCCAGTCTGGTCTACATAGTGAGTTCCAGGCCAGCTAAGGCTACAAAGACCCTGACTCAAAAAGACACCCCCCAACCCCAAAAAAAGTGACACATGAGTCTTATTTATTTAGGGGATATTGGAAGATTTTTGTTCTTGACAGGCAGAAATGGACCACTGCTCTTTATAGAGGAATCAATATTGCAAAAGCAATCCCAGGCAAGGAACAGATACCAGCAAACAAGCTACACATCCCAGCCTTCTTTCAACATGCTCATAAAAATAACACCACATACCTTTTTCTTAGAAATGTTTAGTTTGCTTCCAATAACTTCTGCCATTCTCAGTTTGCTTGTATGCTCAGAAAGCATAGCTGTGAAACAGTCTAAAGCCTACAAAGATAACCAAGATAAGAGTCAAGGTAAACTGATTTTGTTTGTAACACATTATCGTCTCTCTACTTCCTGACTGTGGATGCAGTATGACCAGGTACTGCAAGGTCCTCGCCAGAGACTTCACAGTCATGAAGGACTAGAACTGTGAAACCAAATAAACTTCAATCCTTTAGTTGCTTTTATTGGGTATGACCACAGCGACAGGACAGTAACCTAAACACATATTTTCCTTTTTCGCTAGCACAATTGCTTCCATTTTAATATTTTTATAAATATTTGCAGATGCATATTTCACAACAGCCAAAAGATAAAAGCACAAATGTTCATTAACAGAGGAATGAAAAAATTTCACATTTACATAAATCAATGAAATATTATTCTACGTTTAAAAGACTGAAGCACAGTTCATGCTACGTGGATTAGACATGAAAATAATAGGCTGGGGGCTGGAGAGATGGCTCAGCAGTTAAGAACACTGACTGTTCTTGCAGAAGACCTGGGTTCAAATCCCAGTACCCACATGGGAGCTAACAACGGTAACTCCAGTTCCAGGGGATCCGACAGCCTCTTTCCTCCTCAGGCATTGAACGATGTGGGTGTACTTACCTACATGCAGGAATAGCACTCATACACATAAAACAAAAAAAATAAAATATTTTAAAAAAGAAAATAATAGGCTGGGAGTAGTGGCACATGCCTTTAATTCTAGCACTGAGAAGGCAAAGGCAGCTAAATTTCTGTGACCTGAGAGGCCAGTCTGGTCTACATCCTAGGAGTATAGAGACCCTACTTCCAAAAAACAAAAACAGAGGGGGGAAGAGGGAGGGAGAGAGAGAAAGGAGGGACGTGAAAAAACTGCTCAATGGTCAAGAGCATTTATTCCTCTTGAAGAGGACCTGGGGTGAATTTCTACCACCTACATGGTGGCTCAGAATAATCTGTAACTCCAGTTCAAGAGAGTCAATGCCCTCTTTTGACCTCCCCAGACATTGCACTATACAGGTTGCACTTACAACACATGCAGGCAATACATTCATACACATAAAAGATGTATGTCCATGCCTCAACTTCAATTCAAAAGGAGCAAACCTAAGTATACCTACAAAAATGAGGAGAATGAAAAAGAAATTTGAATGGAAAACAACAAACAAGAATAAAAACTGTCATGCAGCATTTCAAAGTTCAACTGAGTATAAATGTGGAATCCAAAGGACACTTCTTTCTACTCAAAGTAACTCGACCACATAAAGACACAATACAAACTAAACTACATCATTGTGCTCTCTTCAGTCTCTGACAGAAATCAGAACACTTCATAGTCAAAACTGGTCAATGTTTCTCCAAGTAACAATGACTCTGCTTTGTTTCTACAGAATTTTGCAGGGCTCTACTTCTACAGGGCCTTCCACTGACAACAATTTTTTTTCCTCAAGCTCATATTTTATAATTCCCATGTATTTTTCTAAACGAAAGGCTGCCTGGTTTACCCAGCAAGTTCCAAAGCAGCCATGTTACATAGTAAGACCCTGTCTCAAAAGGCAAACTTTAAAAAATAAAATAGGGTGTTTAGTATGCTCAATTAGTCTGAAGGCAGTTTTAACTAGCTACAGAAAATAAATTGCAACTAGATAAAGGAAAACTGATAGACATCAAGAGACAGGCTAAAAATCAACAGCTTCACAGTGCAAAGAAAAATTCAAAAGATTGCCATCTTACCTCTTGAAAAATACTTAATGATGCTGATGAAGATGAACTATCAAAGCTATGAGAAATTCTATTACACCAATTCAGTAGATCCCTTCAAGAAACAAAAATACAATAAACAAAAACAATCATAGACCAAAGTTTAACAGTTTTGCTGTTCTTTTCGTTTCTTTTTAAAGATTATTATTTTTTTTTTAATGAGTATCAGTGTTTTTTTCTGCATGTATGTTATGTGCATCATGTATGGAATGCCAGAAGAGGATGTTGGGTTCCCTGGGACTGAAATTAGAAACACTTGTTAGCCATTGTGTTGGTGCTAGAACCAAGCCCAGGTCATCTGCAAGAGCGGCCAGTGTTCTTAACCAGTGGGTCAGCTCTCCAACCCCTATTTATATTTAGCCCCTATCTATATTTTGTTTGAGATAGGCTAGCTTTGTATTAGTTTACCTACTCACCCCAGGCTTGCCTAGAACTTGTGGCCTTCCTTCCCCTTAGGCTCTTAGGATTACACACATGTGTCACCATACCCAGTTCATATTGCTTTTTTTTTTTTTTTTTTTGAACTTTTTGAGACAGGGTCTCCCTGTAGCCCCAGCTGTCCTGGAACTCACTATGTAGACCAAGCTGGCTCGAACTCACAGAGATCAGCCTGCCTCTGCCTCTGAGTGCTGGGATTAAAGGCGTGAGCCACCACGCCCAGCCACATTGCTTTTTAAATGAAGAAGAGCAATACCTTTATCAAGCCTTCCTAACATGTAACCATATATCTGAAAAGGGGATCTATCTCATGATGCAATCCACTGGTGTAGTTTATAAACTATACCTGTCATGATCATTTTATTCTAACTAGTAAGAACTTTAAGGAAGCCATTTGTAAATATTAACTGGAAACAGTATGTACTCAAGTACCTTAGAGATAATTCTCTTCCCTCAAGGGCTGGTCTTTTGTTTTCTTTCTTGGGTTCTGAAACTTCATGTGATTCCTGTTCACATCCAACAGAACCATCACTCTGATGGTGATGTTTCTCTCCGGTAAGCTCAATATAAATGTCAAGCAAGTGATGAGCTGCTGCCAACAGGCTTGGATATCTACTCTGAAGAACCTGATGGGGGCAGACAAAAAAGAGAAAATTCAAGAGCAGCTATGGTGACTCTTAAAAGCACACATAAGACGGGGCTTTAGACTTTATAGTGGAATGCTGCCCTAGCCTGGGCAAGAACATGGTTCCATCCATAGCACAAGGAAGGAGAGTATATAAACTGCTTGCATCAGTTCACCCAAAAACAGGATTTCTCTAAGAAATTTGTCATCTTTACTAAGCATATGAATTTATACCCTGACTTGTTCTTGCTCGTACCCACTCATCAAGATGCTTTTCACCAATCTGTACTAAGTTGTATGGCATTCTTGCCATCTAGAAAACAGTTTAAGGGGAAGACTAAGTCATATACCCCAAAGCAAAACATATGCATCCAAGTCCAAGTAATTCATTCATTAAAAAAATTCTACGAAAAATGGGCGTGGTGGCACACGCCTGTAGTCCCAGCACTTGGGAGGCAGTGGCAGGGCAGATCTCTGTGAGTTCGAGGCCAGCCTGGTTGGCACAGCAAGTTCCAGGCCAGCTGGAAAATTCTTCAATTATTATTTTGTATAACCCCAAACATAATTCTAGGAAGGTACATTATGTAACCTATAAAATAAATCAGAAATGGTTCTGTGGAAAATAAAAAAAACTTTTTCAATACTTTATCATCTTTATTTTATGTGTATGAGTGTGCTGCCTACATGGTTGCAAATGCACCAAGTCCTGCAATGCCCACAGAGGTCAGAAGAGGGCATTGGATTCCCCTGGAACTGGAGTTACAGACAGCTGTTAGCTGCCATGTGGGTGCTGGGAATTGAACCCAGGTCCTCTGTGAGAGCAGCCAGTGCTCTAAATCATTGAGCCATCTCTCCAGCCCCCAAAAATAAACATTTAAAAGCAAACCACAATAAAAAAAAGTTAAGAGGCATTGATTAAAAAGCAGCTGAAGTTTAAAGAGTAAAAAATAGAATTTAAGAAGGAAAAAAATCTAGTCCTATTCATTTCAATAGCTAATATACATTGCAGTATAGTACTTGGCATATATACTATTGGTTCCAAAGCTTTACAATGTGTTGATTTGTTTACTTACTATCTCTCTGTCAAGAAACTGCATTAGAAATACTAACCATCAGATACATTTCAATTAGCTCAAAAAGTACATTATAAATAGAATTTGTATATGCAACATTCACATTTTACATAATGCCCACATATTTACAAAAGATATAAATATAGCTCTAACAGTCATCTGAAGTAGCATATTTTCTAGATTTCATGATATTTTTGCTGAATCGTTTTACAATTTTTTAATACATGAAGTCCAGCTAGAGTAAAATAAATACATAGAAAAAAGAAATAAAATGGTCGGGTGTGGTGGTGCATACCTTTAGTCCCAGCACTTGGGAAGCAGAGGCAAGTGGATCTCTGTGAGTTCGAGGTCAGCCCGGTCTACATAGTGAGTTCCAGGCCAGCTGGGGCTACAGGGAGACCCTGTTTCAAAAAGACAAAAAAAAAAAAAAGAAAAAAGAAAGAAATAAAATGAACACAAGTCAACTTTATGGGATTGTTCAAATACAGTATACATTTTTCAGTGCATTAGTCGCTGAAATGGAGGAATCAGCCTGGACTACACAGAAAAAAATTCTCAAAAAACAAAACAAACCAAAAAAAACTACAAAAGACAAGGATACATTTCTGTCTATGTCAGAAAGAACAGTGGTGTATACCTTTAATCCTAGCACTTACAAGGCAGAGAGATTTTTCTGAGATCAAGGCCAGCCTGGTCTACACAGCAAGTTCCAAGCCAGCCAGAACTCATACTCAGATCCTTATCTTAAAAAAAAAAAAAACCCAACAACAATAACAAATGGTCATAAATTAGGCATATAGAAAGCCTTAAATGGAGCTAACAGGTAGTTCAGCAGTTAAGAGCACTGGCTGCTCTTGCAGAGGACCTGATTTCAGTTCCCAGAACCCACATGGCAGTGAACAACCACCAATAACACTGTTCCAGGCAATCTGACACCCTCATCTGGTTCCCATTTCTGTGAGTTTGAGTTTCAAGTCTGTTACTCAGCATGTGTTTGAGGTTCCTCTAGTAATCTCAGCACACAGGAGGCAGAGGCAGGGGGATCTCTGTGAGTTCAAGGGCAGCCTGGTTTACATAGCAAGTTCCAGGCAAGCTGGGGCTACAGACAGACCCTGTCTCAAAAAGGCGAAAGGAACAGTGCTTATCCCGAGTCCTGCCTTACTTAAGAAGCTGATATGCAAAGAAATCTGAGTTTGTCATAGACAATGTGGTCTGCATTGCTTGGAGACCAAGAGATTTCTTGAAATCGAAAAAAAGCCTTTCAAGTGGCTATAAGTGAGCAGTGTCTACAGAGAAAAAAAAGCACTGTTACTCTCTAATGCTACATACCTCATTTAATTCTTTCTTATCCAGATGGGCCAGATGAATTTTGGTCCAATATTTGTCTAGTAAATTAGCATGAGTATTTATTGGTCGACACCAATTTCCTCCACAGCTCAAGAGCCTGTATTTCAAAATACAAAACACAAAATTGAGACACATACAACATCCAAATTTTAATTTTGAATTACAGAAGACCTGCTTCATCTGTGCGGCATACACTCCAAGACCTACAGTGGATGATCGAAACTGCAGACAGTACAAAACTTACATACATTATGTTCTTTTCTTTATACAGACACCAATGGTAAAGTATTAAATTAATTAGAGATGGTAAGAGATCACTTAATGTCTACTAACAGTTAACTAATAAGCTGGGTGTGGTTGTGCACACATATATTACCTCACACCTCAGAGAAATGAAGCATGAGGTTTTGGAGTTTGAGGCCAACTTGAGCTACAAAGCAAGACTGTTACAAAATATTAAAACCTAAAATAATCAGTTATAAACACCTCTGTAAAGCATAAATAACCTGTAAAAATTGAAAACCTTAGTCACGTTTAAAATTATTCATTTATGACTGATTTGTCTAATGTATGTTTACCATATACATTCCTTGTAGAGCCCCTAGAACTGAAGTTTTATATAGATGCCAGCTACCATGTAGGTGCTGGGAACTGAACTTAGGTCCTCTACAAGAGCACCAAGTATTCCTAACCACTAGTTAACTGATTGTTAGCAAAATCTAAAATGTTCTAAATTATCTTACCAGAAAGAGGTAGTATAGCATATACATAATTTATTATAGACAAACAACATTCTTACACATTAAGGATTACTGCCCTGAGACAGTACCATTATTTTCTTCTAATACCTTGCTTACTCAACTACAATTACAAATGATAGACGTGGAGTGTAATTCAAGTCTTTCTGTTTTCAAGTCTGTCTGACCTTCCCTGATGTCCCAGACTTTCTGGGAAATGCGCAAATCTAGCAGGGACAAATTCTACTATTTTTATAAATAAAAATCAGGCAATGGAAAGTAGTACAGCTCAGTGACAGAACACTTGTCCACCATGCTCAGAGCCTAGGTTTAATTCTCACGAAGAAAAATGGAGGTCTAGTTATTTGAGAACTATTAAGTTCAGTATCTATCTACTTATTGAGAAATACCAAATTAATTATTTTTTTATTTTATTTTATTTATTTATTTTTTTTTTGGTCTTTTTGAAACAGGGTCTCCCTGTAGCGCCAGCTGGCCTGGAACTATGTAGACATAGTTCTAAGAGATCACAGAGATGCTCCTGCCTCTGCCCTCCCAAGTATTGGGACTACAGATGTGCATCACCACGCCCAGCTTATTATTTTTTTTATATAATATTTTTAAATTTTTATTTATTTATTTTTATTTTGTGTATGAGTGTATTGCCTGCATGTATGTGAGTGCACCCACATCCCACATCGTGTGATGCCACGGAGGTCAGAAGACGGCTTCGGATTCCCCTGGAGCTGGAGTTAAGGACGGTTTGCAGCTGCCATGTGGGTGCTGGGAATTGAACCCAGGTCCTCTGCAAGAGCAGTCAGTGCTCTTAACTGCTGAGCCATCTCTCCAGTCCCCCAATATAATTATTAAATACAATTTGTAGGCATTAGAAAAGTTATGCAGGATTGGGTGGTACATGCTTTTAATCTCAGCACTTAGGAGCCAAAGGCAGGTGGATCTCTGAGTTCCAAGACAGTTGCAGGCCAGTCAGGACTACACAGTGAGTTGGCTTACAGGAACCCCATGACTCTCTCAGAGCTTGAGGCCTCAGTATCCAGACTCAAGAAAGAGGAAGAGGTTCCAGAATGGGGACAGAAAGGTTAACAGTACATACCTCCTGGTTGCAAAAAAGTGAAATCCAGGAGCTACTTTCAAACAGTCACCTCGGCCAGGAAGCAGAAGTTCTCCATTTTCCAGCAGAGGGATCAACACAGATACCTAAATCACAAAACTCCATTCATCACACCATTGAGACAGAAGTTAAAAAACCCAAAACCATCCAGTCTCCAAATACTGGACATACCCTAAAAGGAAACTCCTGTTTTCACACTTCAAATGAGGGGGTTGGAAAGATGGCTCAGAGGATCCAGGTTCAATTCCCAATACCCACATGGTTACCTCTGGTTCTAGAGGACCTGACACCCTCTTCTGGCCTCCACAGGTACTGCACAACATAGTGTATACTTACATGCAACACACATGCAGGCAAAAACACACATACACATAAAATTAAAAAAATTTTAATTCATATTGGGGTTAAATGCAGATGGGTTCTCTGAGTTATCTATACTCCATTAACAACATTCCTTTACTAGAACAAAAGCAGGACTTGAGTTTTAAAGTCAAGAATCTTACAAGTTTTAAAGTCAAGAATCTTACAAGAGATGACAGATGTGCAAACTATCACACAATAAAGTATGTGAAGATGCAGGGTGGCTGAACTGGAACAGAGTGATTCAGAAAAATTCACTAAACTGTCCTAAAGGTTCAATAAGTCTTAAAGAATGAGCCAGAATTTGATAGATTTGGTGGGAAAGAAATGGCACATACACCAGCAGGGGTCATATGTGCATGAGTACACGCACACTCACACAGACACACACAAAAAAAGTATTTTCTGACTTCAATATGCAGTTAATCTGAGCATTCATCTTAGGAGAAAATTAAAACCATCTTTAAAAAAATCTAAACAAAGATATCTTAATTCTTATTATATCTTTTGGTCACAGTTTACAGATTTCAGAGGAAACAGGGACTACTCAATAACTGGCTTCATTGAGGAAAGTGATCTTTTAAAAAAACCCCAATAGCTTGCTGGGTGTGGTGGCACACACACACCTATAGTCCCAGCACTTGGGAGGCAGAGGCAAGCAGATTGTGAGTTCAATGCCAGCGTGGTCTACATAGTGAGTTGCAGGCCAGCTGGGGCTACAGGGAGACCCTGTTTCAAAAAGACAAAAAAAAAAAAAAAAAAAAAAAAAAAAAACAACAACAACAACTAAAAACCCAATAGCCAAGTATCAGGGCACGCTCCTATAATTACGGCACTGAGGCAGGAGGTCAGCCTGAGCTACATACCAAGTCTCACAACTATGAAATGAGAAACCATGTCTGAGAAAACAAAATACAATCATGTGGTAGTTTGAATGAGAATGTCCCCCTAGTCTACAAGTATTTGGATATTTTGTATTTTGTTCCCAGTTGGTGGTTTGAATGAAAATGTCCCCAATAGACTCCAAATATTTGACATTTTGCCCCCAGATGATGGTGCTGTTTTGGGAGCTCTTAGAAGGCGTGGATATCCTGGAAGAAGCACATCACTGGGAGTGGGCTTAATGTCCCCAATAGACTCCAAATATTTGACATTTTGCCCCCAGATGATGGTGCTGTTTTGGGAGCTCTTAGAAGGCATGGATATCCTGGAAGAAGCACATCACTGGGAGTGGGCTTAAAGAATTCTTAAGCCTTGCTGGATCTCCAGTCACTCTCTTGCTTCCTGTGCCTGTGTGATGATGTGAGAGCTCAGCTTCTGCTGCTCCTGCTCCAACCACCTCCAGCCACCATGCCTCCCTGCTGTGACGGACTGTAATTCCCCTGGCACGGTAAGCTCAAATAAACCCTTCCTTCTATAAATTGCTTGGGTCAGTGTTTCTATCACAGCAACAGAAAAGTAACTAATACAGTAATGTTTTGGGAGGTTTTAGGAGGTGTTGCCATGCTAGACGAAGACTTCACTAGGGGTGGATTTTCAGATCTTAAGCTTTGCCAGATTCCCAGTCACACTCTGCTTCCTGTGCCTTCTTGAAGATGTGAGTGCTCTGCTTTCTGCTCCAGCTGCCTCTGCTGCTACGCCTCCCCTGCCATTATGAACTTAAACCCTCTAAACTGTAAGCTCAAATATTCTTCCTTCTAAAAGTTTGTACTGAGCTACATGAAAAAGCACAAAAAAGTCTGAATAGATTATCAAATAAAAAGACAAACCAAGAAATCTAAGATCTCATGTCAGATTAGGCAGGTAACTATGAACAAGCTTCCTACAAGTATCAGATAAAATTGAACATCAAATTTTCCCCAAGTGCTGTAGACAAAATTGTTCTTCAAACACATGTTCAGAGGAGTTTAGCAACTTGACATACCACATCTAATGGGGCATAGTCAATATCCTCCAGAAGGATCCAGTGACCCTTTATAGCTGCCTGTGTCAGGGTGCCAGGCTGCCACACAAATTCTCCAGGGACATCTGTGCAACGATACATCCCCAACAGCATCTGTGAAAAGAGGCTAATTAGTGAAACAACACACATGAGATAGAAAGGCTAGAACTATTAAACTTCAATAAAGGTACCTGAGGTTTACATAGCTTGCCCCCAAAGCTACAGGCAAGAGCAATAGCTATTCTTATATTCCTATAGCAAAAATATTTGAATGACAATATTTGCAAACACACCAGTCAAACAATACTTGCCATTTCTTAATTACCTTACTGTCCGTCTGATCTCCAAGCTGGACTTTGAGAAGCTGAGGAGGTTTCCTTCTACCTGTCACTGCAGCTAAATGTTCAAGTAAGGAAGTTTTGCCACATCCTATTGGTCCTTCAAGCAACACAGGACTCTGAGAAGCCACTGCAACAGCTAGAGTCTGAAGATTTTTACACACAGACTCAACCAACACAAAGGACCTTAGAGCCAGGTCTTGTTCACATGGAGAACTCCTGCCACCTGCCTAAGGAGGCAAGCGAGGAAAAAGAAAAAGCACGTCAATTAGAGACCTACCCCCAAAGGCAGAAGTTAATTTCTACAATTCTTCTACTGACCTTACATTAAAATTAAAAGTTTATGTTTTAAATTTAAGAGCCTTCATCAATCTCTGTTGGCTTTTGTTTTCTTCTTCATTCCACATTCTAGAACTTAACATCTATGGATTAACAATTCAGGGACTAGAGGTCTAGCCTAGTGGTAAAGTACATGTTGGGCATGTACAAGGTTGTATCCCCACACATTTGCACAAACACATACACACACCCAAAAATGCATGTTTGTGAGATAATGGGGAAATAGGTGAGTGAGAGGACCTAGTATAAAAATGTTAGGTTTTATTTTTCATGTATAATAAGAATTTTTTTGTCTTATACTAACAGGGATTAAACCCACAGCCTTATATATCAAGCACTCTACCACTAAGCTATACCCTCAGTCTTACTCTCAACTTTGGTTTTCTGTTTTGTTCATTTTTGCTGTTGTTTAGGCCAGACTCAAGAGATCTTTCTGCCTCAGCCTCTTGATTAGTTGGAACTACAGGCTTGCAACACTGTGCCCACTTCCAAATTTTCCAACAGTTCAAGGCAACACACAAAGGGATTTTATTTCTAATTTCATATTCAAAAGAGATGAAGGAAATACCAGGGGGAAATATAAGGTGAATTTATCTTAATTTCTCCCTGAATACTATTAAAAATCACCAAGCAATCTGGCAAACTTAATGTAGCTCACACTTGTTCATGAACCCTAACCAAGAAAAGTACATATTCAGATTTAAAGGGCAAGGGAAGCACAGCCCCTACTGAGGCCACCGTACCTGCTCTCCAGGAATAGATGGCTGCCTAGGCAGTACCACACCACAGACAGCCGTCACTTTGGAGGAAAGGTCAGCTGAAACAAGGTGTCCCTGTCTATACTGTGGTTCCATCTCCTTATGCCAAAAAGAGGTTTCTGGATTGGTCAAAACCAAGGCCTTCTCTAAGTCCTGCAACTGAGCCTCCTCTAACAACCTGAAGAAAAAAAAAAATCTCATCAATATCTGCACAGAAAAGCCACAGCAAGACCTCGAGGAAGGCCCCTGCTTACCTCAATCTGAAATGTACCAATTCGTCACTATTAAAAATTTTCTTTAGGAATGATAACTTGTGTTCTTCATTCATACAAGTGACCAAAGCAAGACAGTTGGCTGTATACCTGAAGGAAAAGGAAATATATAAATTCAGCTGATCTACAATTAAGAAAATCACTATCCAATTAAATGCTAGAAAAGGAAATCTTAATTATTACAACACACATTTAAGAGAACAAAACAGCAATCAAGCATGACAAATTCATTTGGTGAACACAAAAAGGGTGAAACTCCATACACAACATCTTTCTCTATAGGGACACTAAATGATTAAGCAAAGGGATTAAGAACTATAAAGCCACAAGAACAAAAACAAAAGTTCCAAATCATTTTCCTTTATCCTCTCACACATACCACCCCCAAACCAGAAGTCCAAGTTCAACAGCTATGTACCAGCGGACCAAAGTGTCATGGCTCCTGAGGAGAGGGACACAAACACTCCAGTCCCAGAGTTCCCGGAAAACAGACTGCTCTTGATGCAGAAACTTGTAGGCTGCTTCCATCAGGTCCCGGAGTTTCATCCGCCTGCGCCCGTAGCGCACTGGATTAGCATCTGAACTCTCAAGGAAGAGTCTCTGAAAGACTGGATAGGTGTCCTTAAAATACCTCAGGGCAAACCTTCAGGAGAAAAGAAGTATTTTCATTAGTTGGTAGAAGCAGCCAAGTACATATCTGTACTCAGAGACAAGACTACAGAACTAACAGAATGCTTAAGGACCTAAGAACATGGGGAGGAAAATGCCAAAGCCTCCTAGTCCCAAAGATTTGTAACTCATTTCAAGTTCAGGAACCAGGCTATGGCACAAGATACCAGTTCAGAGGATGCAAAACCCCAAAGGCATTATCCTCAAAAGCAGAAGTGCATTGAGTGGTTACTACTGAAAACACAAGTCGTTTGAACATTTACTGAATTCTTACTGTTTATATCAAGAGATTAAAAACCCATATAATAATTCTTCTTGAGGAGCCTGCTATGAAGAAGGGGAAGCCACATACAGACCAAAACACAAAGGTCCAGCTGAACCTCGGGGAGGCAAAACCAGATGCCTAGAGTACCTCTTAAAATATCAAGAGGAGGCCAGGGCTCAGGGACTACTGCAGAAGAGGCAGAGAAGAAAGATTGTAAGAGCCAAGGAGGAGGTACATGACCATATGCAAATAGAGTCCTACAGGCTCCTGGGTATCAGCATGTACAAGACCCATGCAAACTCAAAGACCCAGCACAGAATTGCGGAAATGGGCAGCAGGCCCCAATCTTAGCCTAAAAATTATTGGCAGCTGATTACTGCTGAGTGAAGAAGAGCTGGTCTTCTTAAACAGAGGGACTCTAGATAGGCTGGCTAGACCTCAGTGGATGAGCTTGCACTGAGGGACATATGGCCTTAACACAAATGACAGAATGAATAAATTCCACTGGGAGGCTATGGAAGGGTGCTAATGGGGAGAGGGGTATAAAGATGATTAAGACATTCTACATAAAATACACAAAACCTCAATAAAAATTTACAATAAATATAAAAAAATTTAAAACTATATAGGAGAAATTAGAAAATACCTTGAGATAAATGAAACTAAAACTGCAACGCACCAAAACTTATGGGTTGTATAAACCAATTGGGAAATTTATACATATCAAAGAATCAGCAAAATTAGAAAAAACTAAATATAAAGTTAACAGAAAGACAATAAAAAGCAGAGATTAATGAATGGAGGACAACAAAAACTCAATGAAAGCCTAATTTTTCAAAAAGATCAACAAAATTCCTAAGCCCTTATATTCATGAGGGAAAAAGAAGAAAAAGAAGACTAAAAGAATTAATATCAGACTTGGAATCGTGATACATGTCTTCCTTTTCAACCCTGAACATATTTCTAACAGACATAATCAGGACTAATGATTTTTAATTAGCCCTAGCAAAATCATGCATTTGGGTCTGATGCTGGAGTGTTTCCTTGGCAGCCTCAGTTGGTATTCCACCCAAAAAGATAATGAATATAGGTATGCTTGAGAATTATATCAAAGCCCTGAAACATGGCTCCCTACTTCCAAGAGGTTGGGAAGAACTGGGGCCCTAGGATGAATATGAACTAGGGATGAGAAGACCAGATGGCCTGTGAAGATTAAGGGTGGAGGCAAACTTATACTCCTCCCCCCAAAAAGGTAAAGAAACCATTTTGAATAAATTATGGGTGTGGACTGAGGGGGACACAGTTGGAGAGAGGATTCCAGAGCCAGTTCTATAGATAAAAGGTGAGAACACAGACTCCTCCATCTGTACAGGTTGAGGGAACAAAAGATTCACAGGCACAGTTCTGGGAGACTGACAGTTCAAACAGATAGATAGAGAAACTAGTGTCCTCCAAGCATGGCCCACTCTTAAAAATATAATTTAAGAGTCTATTTGGTTCAGGTGATTATGATGGTGGGGTAATAAACACTGCATCTTTCCTTATATAGTAATTTCAGAGTGGCTGACACAAGTGACTCCCTTCATCAAAGAAACTTTAAAACCATGTGAATCTCAAGAGATTCACAGCTGGTCAAAATGCAAAGAGTAAGTGACCATGAGATGCCCAGCCCCAAATAATAGATCTGCAATGCTATCTTTACACCAAAGGTTCAGGGAATATCACAGAAGAGGGAGCAGAAATACTTTAAGACCAGGACATCTGCTGGTAGATACTTCTAGACAAACAGGGAAGCTGTATCCATGAAACCTCAGGAGAATGGTTGCCTAAACAAGGCCTGCATAACGACATGAGTCACCCCTGACAATGTAGATGGGGGAAATTTCACAAGGCCTGACCCCCAACCCCTAAATGAAGAGCTACAGGCAATCAATAGCTGCTGAGAGAGAGAGAGAGAGAGAGAGAGAGAGAATTAGTTTTGTCCAGGGATAAGCCCCCTGATATTTAATTCCAGGTGCCCAGCCTTAAACAAAATGGACTCAGTAGACTTTTGCGTATGTAACAATAATTAAGAGGCCACAAATGAAGAGCTACATGCAATCATTGGATGCTGAGGGAGGGAGACTCAGTATATAAATGTATGCATGAAAGGGACGGGACATTAAGAGGGGGGGGGGGGGATGTGGGAGGAGTTGGAGGGAGGAGACGGTAGAAATAATGTAAATACAGCACTCACAAATGAAATTCTGAAATAAAATTTAAAGATTTACTTATATTTTATGTGTATGAACGTTTTACCTTCGTGTATGTAAGCCCACCACATGCATACAGTGCTTAAGGGAGCCAGAAGAGGGCAGTGGGTCCCCTGGATCTCGGGTTGCAGACACCAATTTATACAAGTCTATTTATTTGTATTGTAAGCCGCCATGTGGGTTCTGGAAACAGAACACAGGTCCTTTGCAAGAGCAAATGTTTTTAGCCACTGAGTCAGTCATCTTTCTAGTCCCTGTACTTGCTGGTCTGGAACTCACTATGTAGACCAGGCTGGCCTCCACCTTAGAGATCCTGCCTCGAGAATGCTGGAATCAAAGCTGCGCACCACCATGAATGTCAGTGCACCCATGCATCACTGTCTGTATTGGATACCCTGGAACTGGAGCTAAGGATGTAATGTGGGTGCTGGGAACTGAACTCAGGTCCTCTGTAAAAGCAGCCTGACGCTGTACTGGTTTTTTTGAGATAGGTTCTCGCTATGTAGTCCAAGCTGACATTGAACTCACAATCTTCTAGCTTTGTATACCACCACATTCACTGTGACTACATTTTGATTCTGAGAGTGTCCCTCATTATCTCCATGTTTTCTCTGAAGACACTGGTGATTAGCCGTCCCATATGGCAGAATGAGATTTGTCACAGTTGGTCTAATCTGATCTGATCTGATCATATGAGAGGAACCGATGGCAATTTGATAGTCAATGTCAGAAAAGGCCCTTTTTGGTCAAACTGAAGCAAATGAGAAGTTCAAAGGAAGGGCTCCTAGGTATTTAAAATTTTAGTTTTGTCTGTCCTATTTATCAGGTCCAAGCATTTCAAATATTCCTGAGGTTGTTTAGTTAAAAGTTGTGTTCCTGTAGAAAGTCAACAGGTGACAGTTACACGTTTAGCAACTTTCAGTTGGGGAGATGACTCAGTAGGCAAGAGGAGCACTTTCTTTGCAAGCATGAGGACCTCAGTTCAGACCAACACCCACATAAAAAATAGGCATGGCTGCATGAACCTGCACTGTAATACCAGCACTGGTGGGGCAAAAAGGGGCTTGCTGGCTACTAGCCTAGCCTAAAAGCATCTCAGTGAGTGAGTGCTCAGGTTCAGTGACGAGCTCCTGCCTCAAAGGAATGTAGCAGACAGTAATAGAGAAGGCCACTTAAGGTGCAGGTGTACCTTATGTACACACACACACACAGACACACAGGCACACAGTTTAACACTTTATAAAAACAGTCTATTTACTTGTATTGTAGATCATTTTATAACACAATTCCCTAGGTGATCAATATCTGATCCTTTAAACTAATAACACTGTTTGGAATGTTAAAGGAGCAGGCATATCTAATTATCTGCGCTCCAAATAATGATCATATAATTAGAATATGTAAGCCTGACAAGGTTCACAATTATTAATAATTTTAGTTTGGACAAAACCAGTTTAGCAAAATATCTTTCTAAGCTTGTATTTTAGAAGACTTGTATACCTTAGGAAAATATACAAAGCCCATAATAATTAGCACAGAAGTATTCTATGCATTAATTTAGGTTTTGGTTTTTTTAATATATTATTTTTATTTTATGTGTATGTGTGTATTGCCTTGCATTTATGTAAGTATACCCGTGTCGTGCTATGCCCACAGAGGACAGAGAGGGCTTCAGATTGCCCGGCACTGGAGTTACGGACAGTTGTTAGCTGCCATGTGGGTGCTGGGATTCAAACTCGGGTCTTCTGCAAGAACAGCCAGTGTTTTTAACCTCTGAGCTATCTCTCCAGCCCCTTAAGTTTTAGTTTTTAACCAAATTTTAGAATCTTTAAAGATTTAGACCTTTCACAAATTTGGGAAAAAGTATTAATAACCGTAACTAGACATATACAAGTGTGTCTGACATAAAATAGCAAAAACAATTAAAGCAAACACCTAAAGCAAAGATACTAAAATGAGTACAATGCCAGAAAAATTCGAAATTTTACTTGTAGAGACTTCAAAGAAGATATAAACAAGCAAATGAATAAAGTATGGAAATCAGTTCAAGACCTAGGGAGGAAAGTCAGAAATAGGTAAAGAAAATGTGTATATATACAATGGAGTTTCATTCAGTCATAAAGAATTAACTTAAAGGGGCTGGAGAGATGGCTCAACAGTCAAAAGCACCAGCTGCTCTTGCAGAGGATCCAGGTTCAGTTCCCAGCATCCACATGGCAGATAACAACTGTCTGTAACTCCAGTTCCAGGTGATTTAATGCCCTCTTCTGGCCTCCATAGGCATTGCATGACACAGTTGTACCTACATACTTGCAGACAATACACCCATACACATAAAATTTAAAAATTAACTTAAATTCATTTATAGGAAGATGGGATCTGGAGAGCCTATTACATGAAAAAAGACACTGACAAATATCAAATGTTTTCTCTCACATTTAACCCAGATTAAAATCA